CCCCTGATTTCAAATCCTTTCCCGCTTTTACAGAGTAAGTGTGATGAATGTCTGTGGTGTGCAAAAGCAGGGACTGCCACCCTGCAGTCACCCTGGCCTGTCCTCTTAGCATTTTTCATTAATAAATGGGGGTTTTTTTATTTTTTTATTATGAATCCAGATGTCAAAAACAAAATGCCTCACTTCTGTGGCTCTGATTTCCAATTTAAATGCAACAGAAATCCTTCAGGGCCTTATTGTGCAGTATTAGACCATTTAGACTCACTTTTACAGCCTTCTGGGAGTTAAATTTTGTGAAATATGGCAATAATAGGTGTTCTGGGAGAGCCAAGGTTTGAAGGCTGAAAATGAATCCACGTTTAAGTTACATTTATTTAGATTGCCCAAGGAAGTTGTGGATGCCCCCTCCCTGGAAGTATTCAAGGCCAGGCTGGATGAGGCTTTGAGCAACCTGGTCTAGTGGAAGGTGTCCCTGCTGCTGGCAGGGGGGTTGGAACTGGATGAGCTTTAAGGGCCCTCCCAACCTAAACCAGTCTGGGATTCTGTGATTTATGCCCAGGAAAACTTCTCTTCATGGCTCAGCTCACTAAACACCTTTGTGGAGAGAGTTCCTCTGAGAGCACAGATGAGGAATGGGAGCCCAGGATGTGGTGGGGAGCAAGCAGGAGGGGAAGGAGAGCAGGTTGGGGATGGGCAGATGCAGGTGGTCTCTGCTTGAGGTTCTGCCCCATGTCCTTGATGCTTTCAACAGGCAAATCTTCTTGCTTTGCTTTACGGTGTGTTTGGTTACCACTTGGCTTGTGTCTGGATTTAAGGGGTGATACTGTCCGTGCCAGCCTCGTGATCCAGGGCTGCTGTCCCTTAGTGTAGGACAGCCCTGAGTGCTGCACCCTGAGCATGGCCATGGTGGTGGAGGACACTTGTTCTTTCTCCACTTACACATCTGAGCAAGAACTGAGAGCTTTATTCAGAACCTAAGAGTTCACGTTGGAAGAGAAATCAAATCAGTGCCAAATTTAACAACCGTGATGCATTCCAGACTCCTCTTTTTAAAGCATCCTTCCTAGCACCGCTTTATCTAGCACCTCGTTCATTGTCTGAGATGAGTGGAAGTGAACGAAGTCCTGTTTTGAAGAAACCTCCACTTATTTTGGTGTGTGACTGTTTTTTCTAGAAGACTTCTGCCAAGTTGAATGTATTGTTTCATCAGTTTGTGTCAGAGGTATGGGAGGATGCAGGTACACTCTTATTAAAGCTAAAGCCAGTGGACACATTGAACGAAAAATGCCGGAAAGTTTCTCTTACAGTTCTTCTGCATTTGTTTTTTCACCAAAATGTGGACAGAAGTGTTGAAATGTGTGGAGAGAGATCTGCCTGGGGGCCTGCTCCCTGTGCTGCCATCAGCCCGTGAGCTGGCTGCTGGGTTTCGCTCGTGCACAAGCTGCTCAGGGCCTTTTCTGTTGAAACTTTCTGTTAAAAGCTCTCCACTTAACATTCACTCCTGGCCTCAAACCAGGCTCTGCTATTTTCTCTGGCTTAGATGTGGCAATGAGAGTTAACATGGGAATTAAGAGTGATTTATTTAACCTAAGCACAAATGCTTTTTTCCCCCCTCTGTCTTGGCTTGTACAGCCTGCTGCCTTACTCTGGAGCCTTGTTCACTGGGTATATATAAAGCAGTAATAAAAATGTCTAATAATAGCCCTGGGGAAAGATGTTTTAAATTGTGCAACCAACTGTGAGTGTTAGTTCTGTGTGGCTCGAGAGACTGAAGAGGCTTCAGCAGCTGCTGGTGCTTTAGGTTTCTGTGAAGGTGTTTTCAGAGAGCACCTGGGCAATAAGGTGATGTTCTAGCAGGTCTTGTTCAGAGCAGAGAGAGGCCTGGCTTGCAAAGTCAGCTGGTTTTTCTGAGGAAGGATGCTTCTGGGGAGAAGGAGTGCTTTGTGCCCCGACGCCTAGCATACCACAGACAAATATCTCTTTATTTCTGGGGGAGGAAAGCTCTTCAGTGCTTGCTAGGAGAATGAAATGCCATTGCGTGGGGATGCTGCGATGATTGAGTTTCAGACTGAGCTTGCAAGAGGCGTCTGGAAGTGCCCTGGGCTGGGTTTTTGCTGTCCCAACAGCAGTGCTTCCTTGCAGCGGGTTGGTTTGTGCTCTCTGCTGTGGAACCCCTCTACATTGTGGGAAAACTCAGGAATGAGATTCAGACTGCACTGAGGTGGGCTGGCTGTAGAGTAGCCCTTTCCTGCTGGCAGACAGGACATGTTCAGAGTTATTTCCTCCTCCTCCCAAATTTTCAAATATTTCAGGATTCTGGCTCAGCACAGAGTGATCCTCAAGTTGCTGGAGTGAGGGGAGCACTGCTGCTTCTGAGACAGCCATCTCCAGAGCTCTGGGGTCTGTTTCTCTGCGTGGCAGACAGTGGAAGGAGCAGGTAGCACCACGACAGCGAGCACAGCTCAAGAGAAAAACCTGCTGGGTCTGTGCCACAATCTCTGAGTGGAAGGAGACAGGCAGTGGATGAAGGAGGGACTGGAGGAGGAGGGAAGTGGTGATGGTGGGTGGACAGATAGCAGGGGACTGGCGCAGGTGCCCTGTCATGTGAAGTGTTGTACCCTCTCCCCACATTCTCCGGTGCTGTGTGGACAGGTCTGGCCCACACAACATTTGCCATTTCACGCACAGACTTTCTGTTGCCAAATTTAGGCTACAGGTTTGCAGAAGAATTCTGAACATAGAGCAGAGGCAGAGAGACTGCAGGGTTAATGTGGCAGCCTGAACTCTGAGTGTCCAATTCATTATTTCTTAGGTTTTTCTGAAGACTTAAAGCCTATTTCTACCCTTTCTGCAACAAAGACTCTTGCCTGCAGCTCAGCCATAGGGCAGAACATGGAGGACAGGAGATGCCCAGAGCCTGGCTTTGCAGGGCTCCCTGCACAGCAGTGTGTGTTGAGTTCTGGCTGAATGTGAACCCATGGGAGGGCTCGAGATGTATCCCAAAGCCTGCAGAGCTTCACAGCTCTGGTCTCAGCTGTGTGAAAAGGTTGCTTCCTGGAGGTGGGTAGAGGAGCAATAGCAACCTGGCATCTCATCTTCTGACACATTTAGTGGGTGTAAGAATGCTGGGCTACAGGTTTAGAGTTGAACATTGCAGGATTTTCACAGAGTCACAGAATGATGGGGGTTGGAAGTGACCTCTGGAGATCATCCAGTCCAACCCCCCTGCCAAAGCAGGTCCATCTCCAGCAGGTTGCACAGGGCTGCATCCAGGTGGGTTTGGAATCTCTCCAGAGATGGAGACTCCACACCCTCTCTGGGCAGCCTGTCCCAGGGCTCCGTCACCCTCACAGGAAAGAAGTTTTTCCTCATCTTCATCTGGAACCTCCTGTGTTCCAGTTTGTGCCCGTTGCCCCTTCTCCTGTCACTGGGCACCACTGAGAAGAGTCTGGCCCCATCCTCTTGACACCCGCCCTTTAGATATTGATTGATCCATCGTTTCAGTGGCTGCAGGTTCTGTGGGAAAGGCACAGCAGAGTGTTTCACCCTACAGCCCATAAGTACAACTTATACAGACCCCTTCTGGTCTCTTATATTCTATCTCCTCTCAGCTTCCTGTCACCTTCTGATGGATTCTGGGTTTTACTACCTGAGATACAGACATTTTACAGATTATAACCAAGTCAGCCTTGTACTTTCCTGTATTTTGGTTCTTCCATCCTGAATGCTGGTGCTTTTTGCTGATGTGCAATAGATTTCTTAAGTTTCATTGACACAGAATACGTTTTTCCCTTCAAATGTAGATACAGATTTCTGGTATATTGTAGCAATAGACTTTGCTCTGTGTGCATGTGCCAGGCATTTATATGCCAAAGTTGTTTATATGCCAAATGCTTGCATTTGTCCATTCTGCTGTTAAAAACCAAAATGCCGCAGCATAAATGGTGTCCTTGTGCTGGTATATCTGGAGGTATAGAACCAAACTGCAACGTTAACACATTTCAGCCACTGTAGTTTGATAACTACGTCGGTCAGCTAATGCACTCAACTAATACTGTTTAAACGAGCCACTGCAAACATTTGCTATTAAGTTAATTCAGTGGAAAAAATCCACTTTCAACATAACTTGTTAGAACAGAACTAAATGTATTATTCAGCTCATGAGGGAGCTCTGCACCCAGCTCTTTCCTGACTCCAGCTCATCCATACTACTCTAGCAACACGGCTCTCCTGCTCTGCTCTCAGCCTTCTGGCACAGCTCTGATTTCTGTGCTTCTTCCCCTCCACCTCTGCTAAACCCCAGCGTCTTGCTGCCACCGAGCCCAGTGACATGCACCATTCCCCAGTCTCGCTGCACTCGTTGACAGCCACAGAAAAACCAAGCTGAGTTTCCCCCCGTGACACTTCTCCGTGCCTCAGCTTTCCGAGCAACAGGATTTTTCACAACCCGCTGCTCCTTGTCTGACTCAGGAAAGGCAGCCGAGACTGGAATTTGACAGAACCGAATGCAAAATTAATTCACCGTGCTTTGCTTTCCAGGCTTAAAAAGAACAAGGATATGTTTAAAACAGCCTGCAGCAGGCAGGAGATAGTTAGTAAACCCCGGTCAGTGTGTAGCCTTTCAGATCTTCGTGCAGATTTGAGATCCCCCCCCCACACACACACACAGGCAGGTGCTTCACTGTAGTGCACGAGCTGTCCCTCTGCCATCCCGGGCTTTCTTGTGGCAGTAAATTAAAGCACATGGATAAATCCCTGACCCCAGCCCAGGAAGCAGTGACGTGCCCTAGAGCTTTCCCAATTCAGAGCTTTCTTAAATCACAGCCTGAGCCCTGTGGGCTCAGTTCTAAGGAGCTGCTGTGACCTGCACACGTGGGCTGAGGTGACAAGGACCAGGGGCCCTAAGTGCTGCCCCCGCTACTGTACAAAGTGAAGTACGCACGTGTGCTGCTTCCCTGCATACTCTGTATAATTCTTCTGAACTGATTTCTCCCAAACAGAGCCTTACACCTGTGGAGCTTGTGGAATCCAGTTCCAGTTTTATAACAATCTCCTGGAGCACATGCAGTCCCACGCAGGTAAGCTGGGCACTTCGACTCGCTTAAAGCGGAGAATTAAATTCTGCGCTTTGCTGCCTGATGTTGACCCCGTTGTGTGTCAATAAGAGTTTTCTGTGCTCACGGTTTCCAAAGCCCCAGTAATTTCACCTGCAGCAAAAAAAAAAAAAGAAACTCAAAGGCTGAAACACGTAGCAGCAGCTACAACAATGCAAGGCTCAGGGGATATCATAAATATTGCTCTTTTCCATAGGAAGAGAGGAAACGTGCCGTGGCAGCGCAGAGCACACCAAACTACTCATCCCCTTTCTCCAGAGGTATCTAGGGAATGCTTGTTGCATTGAGCATTAATGGGTCACTCCTACAAGCAGGTGGAATCCCACCTCCTGCAAAAAGGGTAGTTCTCATTGAAGCAAACAAAGCAAAAAACGCTTGCAGGGCAGCAGAGCCTTTGCCTACACAAGTCCTTTTCCATGCTTGTGTCTCCTGGAGTTCTACAAAGGACTGAAGTGTCTTCTCAGAAGAAGAATTTGTTATTCCATCAGTTGTGTTCATTTCCTTCTCAGCTACCTACACAAGAAAATTCTGAGGAGTGGTTCCACTGCTTTCTTGCTAAGCCACCTTTTCTGTTTTCTGTCTCAATATATAAGAGAAGATTTTAAAATCTCAAAGCCAAAGTTGTTTCAAAGACAGCATTCAGAATATTCAAAAATGTAGAAATAGGATTTTTTTATATACCATCAGATTTTTTCTTTTTTTTTTCCTTTTTGAATGAAAATTCAAGTGAATTAACACAGGTTTACAAATTAATTTACCTTTGACAGACCTGTGCTCTCCGACAGACGGCTGCTCTGTTGAGATACACGGTCAGCGCTTGCATTTGCCTCCACTTTACAGGCAAGCCCTGAGCAGAGTGGCAAGGAAGGACAAGTATCTTGAGGAAAAACATATTTTCCGTTCTGTAACAGTAATTCTAATCACAGTTCTTATCTTGTTCTGTGTTTTAGGTTTAGTCCTATTTTCAATGAGTGTCCCTTGAGTTGTTCATCCGTGCAGTTCCTCAGTTGCAGTTCAGTTCATTGGTAAATCTTAGCGCAGGCTTTGTGTGTTGTTCAGCAGCTACTTCATCATCATTGTAATGTTCTGAGTGGACATTTCAGGTGATTTGTTATAAGATACAGTGTGAATCTTGTGGATGTTATTTTCTGTTAGAGCATAAGTGGGTTAATGTGGAGTAGTTGGATGTCATGTTACACTGAGGAGCAGTGAAGCTCTGCTCAGGGTCGTGGCTGCCGTCACTCCATGGTGTTGGGGTCGGTTCTCGCTGCGTCCTGACCATCTTGTTCCTTGTTCTGGTCTCAAATGCAGCATTTTGAGTTACAGCTCTTGGGGATAATGAGTAGAGAAGCTGCAAAGGAGGGACCAAGGCTAAGGTGTCAAAGGGCAGAATGGCAAGGTGTGAGCTGTTGAAAATTTTAAGCAAGTGCTGTCTGCAGCTTCTTCCTTCTCTCTTCTTTACAAATGACCCGTGACCTCTGGGCTTGTTCACCTGGGTTACAGAGCAGGGCTGGAGGGAGCAGGTATCGGTGATCTGACTCATGTCATGTCAGCAGAGATCCCCTCTTTCCCACTCAGGATTACTCCTGTTAAACTCTTTATTTTCTCATCTCTCCCTGCTCTGTTTGTAAGTCACTGTCTTCCGCTTGGCTGCTTCCCCCCAAATGTCTCGCTGGTACAGCGACAGCAAGCTTGTCCACATCTTCTTTAAGTGCTTTCTCCAGGCATCACTGAGGATGCCACCTGGGAAAGCAGCTGTCCCCTGCTCTGGCATCTCTGTCCTGTGCTCATTTCTCCTCCTCCTCGGAGGGAACAGCAGCTTTTCCTCCAGATCTGTGCAGCTGGGGCTGAGCAGCGCGGTATTTGCTACTGTGGGGTGAGGGTAAAGAGCTGTGAAAGCTGCAGCCAGCTTCGGTGGGTGTCCGGTTCTGGGTGTGTTGTACTGGAGCAGAGCAGCAGGGGAGGTGACACAGGACTTGCATTTCCTCTGGTCACAGCTTGTTGCCTTGTAGCCTGTCAGATTGGGGGATTCTTGGGGATTTCCATATCCAGAAACAGCGTTGACACAACATCTCTGAAGCTTGGGGATGCAGAGACCATGCTGTAGTCAGTAAAACTGGTGGCATAGAATCCATATACTGGGGACACTGGAATAGTAGCTGTTTATACCAGTCTATATGCCTGGCTCAAGGGATGTTTCATTATGGGAAGGCAGAGATAAAAGGAGCCCATATGGGTTAAATGCTCCCTAGTTAATGTGTTCAGGAGTCCAGTTTGGTTTCTCGAGTCTGATGCAAAGGACTAATCTCTTCCAACTAAATGTGATGCATCCACTGGGCCCCTCACAAGTGACTGAAGACAGGAAACATCCTGCTGGCCTCGAGGACGAAAAACAGGGACATACTGGCTCTTGAGTCATTCAGAAGGCTGAGCCTGGAGGCTGGAAGGTAATAAGGAGAGATTATAGCTCCATAAAGCAGCTACACAGTAAGAAGCAATTAGAATGTAAATTGGAGGCTGAAAGGCAGAAACAGAACAGCAGAACACTAGGCAGAGGAATTTGTTCTGTAATTACACTGTACAATATACAGCTTTGACTCCCTTTAGAGTACTTTGTTCAGGTCGAGTGCTACCATATAATGCCCTTCCTACAATCTAGAGCTAAAAAGTAAAAGGACGACTAGGCTGAAGCTGGATTAAAGGATTGGAGGCATGAAGAGAAATTAAAGAACCATGATCTGTGTAGTTCACAGACTGCCTGATAAGGAAGATGAGGCTGAAATGCACAAATCTCATTAATGCCATATTGAATGCCAGTGGATATTTGTACATAATAAATCCTCTATTATTATGAAATAGATAAAAGAGTTGGGAGGATGAAATAAAAGAGAGTTTCTCCCTCCACATGCCCCTCACCAAGACAAGGAAGGTCTGAACCATGAACAAAGTTAGTAGGCAACATCCAGCATTTTCCTTTGCCTACCCACAGATGTTGGGAGTTGAGGACAGTGGTGGCATTAGCTCAAGAGCAGTTGGTCTAAACAAATGCTGGGGGAAAAGCGATGTGACATATCTGATCACTGGCATCCACGGGAGCACCTCCTGCTCTTCACGTCTCTTCCACACTTGCAGAGACCAACCTCTGGCTGCAGTCCTGAGCATGGCACTGCTCCCCAGGTACCAACCGCCACCAGTGAATTCCCTGGGTGCATGCAGTCCTTGAGGCAGTCCCAGAGCCTGCCCTGATTCTGTCATATCCTGGCCAGTGCCGTGCCCAGACCTATTAATAACTGTACAATCTGTGGCTGTTTATTAGCAAGGTTTGTGAATGCCCCAGCAGCTCAAATGTGAGAGGACTTGCTCATAAGGAAGAAGACAGTGGAGTGTCATTACATCATGGTGTGTCTCTAGATCCTTGCTGGTCTCCCTTCTCTCCCAAGAGCAACTTGACCCTCTCCTGTTAGTTCTGATGGGTGTTCCACTGCTCTATCCATCACTAGATCAACCTGGGCTGCAGAGCAAAGTGCCTGTGTGCTTTACTAAGGTATTGCTCTAATTTGTGCTCTGCTGTCTGGAGCACTGGGGCAGGACTCATTTCACTGCATGCTGGTGTACATAGTCTATAGATATTGCCACCTGAGCTGGTCAGCTTGGGCTCCCTTTATAATCAGTGGAGAAGTCATTGACTCCAGGTGAATTCAGAGCATGATGGATCTTTACTGCAAGAGGCATCTCGTTCTCCTTGGGTAAATGAATCACACTCTTCAGCCTGTTCTGCACCACTGAGTGTAAAAGGAGTCCCAAGGGACCACTTTGAAGAGAGACTTGTCTAATAGAGATCTCCAAAATCAGGTGAGATGAGTCCAGCTGTGATGAGTAAACGATGTATTTTGTCATCTTATTAATTCCATCCTTCTGTTCAGCCTGGTCATCAGTCTGTCCATCTTTCTCCTTCCTCTTCCACCTCTCTTTATTGTGCTCTTCATTGTTGCTTCACAGCCTATTTCAGAGCACAGTTTCATAATGAAGCATACTAGGAACTAGAAAATTTCCTCTGGAGGGTGGGGAAAAGTTTTGGGGGCACAGGAGGTGAAAGAACATGGATATGATACAGGATTTACTGATCTTGACTGCATTTCCTTGAAAGATCCCACCAGACTGAAACTGTTTAGCCCAGTTACATACACAGAAATAGGAGCATGAACACAGAGACCCCTAAGGCAGTTGGTATCTTTGCAGCCAGAGGGAGGAACAATCTGTGGTCACACTCCAGAAACTTGTTTTTATTTCTTTTTCAGTTTGAGGCAGCATTGAGCAGCCCAAGAGGAGATTGGCTCTCTCTACAGTGGGAGGAAACCATAGATGAGGATTGTAGTAAGATCTTTAGATACAGAGGAGTGGAGCATAGCTTGAAAATAAAAATACTTAGCAGTAGAGAAAAGGGAAGCCACCTGTGGTGCAGAGAGAGGCAGTAAGGCAAAAGCAGGACAAATGTTGGTTACACAACAACGTGTTTGGCGTTTCAAAAGCCAACAAATTGCACGAGTCAGGCTGCACAAGGAGCATCTGTTCCTCCTGGGATACAGCTTCCGTTGATGGGGAGACATTTCTCAAGGTGTGCTGATGGCATCAACGTCACTGATGCACAGAAAAAGCCACTGACATACCAGCAACATTCTGGGGAGGTGATAGGTTGCAAGTCCAAAGGCAATTTCCAAGGTTTCTGACGGTACTGTTGCCATCTCACCAAAAACTGCTTGAGAGCTACAGAGAATGGACTAGGTTGGTTTCACCTTAGTGAAGGGAACCATCAGTGCTAAGCAGATGGGTACTGTTGCCCCTTCTTTGTGCTTTAAGTGTTACTATCTTGTGCTTCTAACACCTCCCTGTCTCTTGCCCCACAGCTGACAACGAGAACAATATTGCCTCTAGCCAGCCCCGATCACCTCTAGCTGTTGTTGAAGAAAAGTGGAAACCACAGCTCCAAAGAAATAACGCCAACAATAGTACGTAGCCATGTTTGCTCTTCTGTCCCCAGCTTACCCGTCCACTTTGAACAAGTGACTGGCAGAGAGGGTGCAGCAGTGATGGGCATGGCACAAGGCCCTTGTCCTCACCTAACTGCACTTGATTTCATCCGTAATTCATGTACCATCCTGCAGAGCAGAGCACCCACTCCCATTACAGGAGCGCTCATGTGCAAAAAGTACTGGGATCCCTCGGGAGGCAGTAGGAAAGGTTTGTAAGGAAGATGTGCTTCACCATGTGCTTCACCATGGGAAAAGGTAAAGGTAGAATACAGCCCTGTGGGAAACCAGTTCCAAAGTACTTGAGCTGAGCGGGCTGGTGGAAGGGTGATGCAAAACTGTGGTGCTTTTGTGTTCTGGTATGGCCAAAAATGACGTTCACATTGCCCAAAATCAGCCCCAAAAAGTGGGGTTGCTGAAGTTCAGAGGAAGAAATAAAAACTTGGGCTTCAGTACTGTTTGAGATGGTGGAGGAAGCAACTCCTCTTAAAATAACTGTCTCAAAGAAATGGCTCAGATCACAAAAATGGAAAGATGTCCAGCTTTCCAGCTGGGCCAGGCTGTGACCACCAGCCTGTAGACATGGATAGCCAATGGCACACATGATCATAACTTACCTAGGCAGTTCCTCAGTGAACACCACAGAGGTGCTGTTGGTTAAGGCACTGGATTATGAGTAGACAAGTGTGTGCTCTGTCCCAGTCCCCACGCAGGGGACAGCATGCAGCTCCCTGCTGCTCTAAGCCAGAGCAAGGCCTGTCCCTGGAGGTTCCTCTGTCTAGAAACCTTGGGGGAAGAAATCCAGGGTCGGAGATGTCTCTGCCATCATCTGGGCATGTTCCATCTCTTTGGGTCTCTCTCCAGATTGTTTTGTGACTTCCTCCCCTCTCCCGTTGCAGAAGAGCAATTCTCATCTGGTGCTTTCTCTCCCTCCTTCTATTTCACTGCAGCATCTGCCAGCGGTTCGGTAGGGAACAGCGCGATCCCAGAGAAGGAGCGGCAGAACATTGCCGAGAGGCTCCTGAGGGTGATGTGCACTGACCTTGGGGCTCTGAGCGTGGTGAGCGGGAAGGAATTCATCAAGCTAGCACAGACCCTGGTGGACAGTGGAGCTCGCTATGGTGCCTTCTCTGTCACCGAAATCCTTGGCAATTTCAACACGCTGGCTCTGAAGCATTTGCCTCGGATGTACAACCAAGTGAAGGTGAAAGTCACCTGTGCCCTGGGCAGCAACGCCTGCCTCGGCATCGGCGTCACCTGCCACTCCCAGAGCGTCGGCCCCGATTCTTGTTACATCCTGACAGCTTATCAGGTGGAAGGCAACCACATCAAGAGTTACGTCTTGGGAATTAAGGGCGTAGACATTCGAGATAACGGTGATTTTATCCACCACTGGGTACAGAACGTGCTCTCGGAGTTTGTGATGTCGGAGATCAGGACGGTGTATGTCACGGACTGCAAAGTCAACTCCTCTGCGTTCTCCAAGGCAGGCATGTGCTTGCGTTGTTCGGCCTGTGCCTTGAACTCAGTAGTGCAGAGTGTGCTGAATAAGAGAACACTACAGGCTCGCAATATGCACGAAGTGATCGAGCTCCTGAATGTCTGTGAAGATCTGGCAGGATCCACGGGCCTCTCGAAGGAGACCTTTGGCTCCCTGGAAGAGACTTCTCCCCCACCCTGCTGGAACTCGGTCACTGATTCCCTCCTGCTCGTCCACGAGCGGTACGAGCAGATCTGTGAGTTCTACAGCAGGGCCAAGAAGATGAACCTCATCCAAAACCTGAACAAACACTTGCTCAGCAACCTGGCAGCCATTCTGGCTCCGGTGAAACAGGCGGTGATCGAGCTGAGCAACGAGAGCCGGCCCACTTTGCAGCTGGTACTGCCCACCTACGTCAAACTGGAGAAACTGTTCACTTCCAAAGCTAACGATGCTGGCGTAGTCAGCAAACTCTGCCACCTCTTCTTGGAGGCACTAAAGGAGAACTTCAAAGTTCATTCGGCACACAAGGTAGCCATGATCTTAGACCCTCAGCAGAAGCTACGGCCCGTCCCACCGTACCAGCACGAAGAGATCATTGGCAAAGTCTGTGAGTTGATCAATGAGGTGAAAGAGTCCTGGGCAGAAGAAACAGAATTTGAACCTTCAACCAAGAAGCCTCGAGCAGCAGGGGAAGCCACAGCAGCTCAGGAAGAAGATTGGTTTGGGAAAAATGAAGTCTATGATTATTTGCAAGAACCTCTCTTCCAGGCCACCCCTGACCTGTTTCAGTACTGGTCGTGTGTTACCCAAAAGCATACAAAACTAGCCAAGCTAGCCTTTTGGCTCTTAGCAGTGCCTGCTGTTGGTGCCAGAAGCGAATGTGTAAATATGTGTGAGCAGGCTCTCTTAATCAAAAGGAGACGGCTACTCAGTCCAGAAGACATGAACAAACTCATGTTTTTGAAGTCCAACATGCTTTAAGACTGTCTTTTAATTAAAACTTTAAAACACTGTTCCAAACAAAGAAAAAAAAAAAAAAAAAGAATTTTAAGTTCTAAACACTGTGGACCTCATTATGAATGCCCCTGGAAACCAAGTGCTTTTTTATATATATATAAAAATATAAATATATATAAAATTAAGTTTGAAAGGAAAGCTGAGCACGTGAGAGAGACAGCCCTCTGCCAGGATCGTGCTCCTTTCCATAGATAGTGTGTGGACTTGACAGACTTTCTAATGTTTTCAAGTGGGCAGACCAATGGGAGGCTGATGTTCTAAAGTCTTCAGGCAGCTGAGATCTAAAGTGACTTGAAGTTTCTTTTTGTTTCTCCTCCACCCCACCTTTCCTCTTGTCCCCTGGGCCATCTTGCCATGGATAATCAGACTACATTGAACAGACCAGTTCTGCACTGGACTTTGCTCCTTTGAATAACTGTACACCTTGAGGGCGTTTGTCTGCAGCCTTCTTGACACACGGTGCATGTTATCAGGGCAGCTGTGTTTTATGAACACCAGTATCTTTAGAAATCAGGAAGGGAGACTTTAAGGGGCGTTTTTTATTTTATTTTTAACTTTTTCATATCCATTTTTTTTTTCCAAAAAAACCAAAAAATTATTCTTCTGTCTCCAAGTTTTGAGTTGAACACGTTAGTAGTGATTATAAGTTTGATTTAAAACTAAGAGAAATGGTTCATGGCAGAAAACATCTGTAATCATTACGTTTCTTGGGTTTATTTTTTTTAAAGCCTAATTTCTTTTCTGAATTCCCAGTGTTAATTAGCTTCTCTGTGAGTTTTAGGCATCAGGGGTTCTCCAACTTGTCCTAGAGTAGCCCATTTGCAATTAAATAATATCCTTATGGAAACCACAGCAGTTGCTTATATGGAAAAGCTGAAAACCAGGAAAAGCAAGCACGCGGTGACAGCACCGATGTCTGTGGGCCACCAACAAGCTTGCCGGGGTCTGCCAGCTGCCATTGAGAACCTTTGTACCTAAACATTTTGTAAAAAAAAAGGTTTCTCAGTACACTCAAAATAACCTCCCCAAGGCCAAGGACAAACCAAGGTGTATGATTTTTCAGGGGAACAAAGATCATCAGTTTTGTCAAATTGGGGTTTGAAGGAAACTTAGAGAAGTGCATGGGCTCCAAGAACCTTCTGAATGTACGTGCTCCTGATTGAGTGCAGAGAATATCTTCCCGTTTTATTTGGAATGGTTTCCTCTAGTAGCACGAATGTCTTTTTTTAATACCTACAGTGCATTACACTACTTGTTACGTTTGCTGAATCGTTCTGGTTAGGAAGGCCACGGGCCCTTAAACCTTCACACTTAACTGGCTCACCCCAAATGCGATTAGAGATGATGGTAACGCAAAAAAAACATCTCAGTCAACTCTTGTGTCTACCAAGGCCGGTTGCTCTGCTGTGTCCAGTGCCCGTAGGCACAGTTCATGGGCTGCAACCCCACTGAGAGCTGCAGGGGTAGCAGCTCTTGAAGATGAGCTGCTGGATGGCATCTCTGCTGGATGGCATCTCTGCTGGGTGGCATCTCTGCTGGATATCAGGTTTGGTGCCTCTTGGACAATTCCCAACTTTCTGGTGCCAAAACTGTTAATTTTTCATCACTGGGACTTGTATCCCAGAGGCAAATTGAAGCAAATTCTTACTTTTGAAGTAGTGTCTCCTGCTTCCAGTAGTATTCTCTGGAGCTGCGGTCACAGTGTCAGCAGAGCAGCATTGGAGGTTCAGGAGGATGGACTTGTTCAGCTCCAAGCAGACAAGCTGGAGCCCTTCAGCAGCGCAGGGGTGTTTGCTGGTTGCTGACAGTGCAATAGTGAAACTGAGGGTCCTTCTTTGAAGTGCTGCTGTTGAATAGATGTTAAACCAAGATCCCACCTGCCCATCTCTGGTTGTAATAGAAGTTCCATGTCCCAAGACATGAGAAATGGCAAACCCAGTCTCAGGCTTTGTTTGCAGATGCCTTGAACCTGACAGGCACTAGCTGACAACTTCACTGCCATGGGGCTCAGACAGTTGGCGTGCTAGAGACCTTCCCTAGGTCCAACTCACTGAGGAGAATAGCACTTTGCACCCAACTGTCTTGTCCTTTTCAGCTTGGAAACTTAGCTTGAGCCTAGCATTTGGGTTGACCTCTCGCACTGTTACTGGCATCAGGGCAAAACTAGTCTCCTAAATCTTAAGTTTTGCATGTGGATGTCTTAAAAGACACAGTCTGCAACCCCACTGAGAGCTGCAGGGGTAGCAGCACTTGAAGATGAGCTGCCAAGGCCAGAGGCACTTGGAGATCTGATTTCTCTGGCAGTGGCTTTTGCAAATGGAGGTGTTAGTTGCAGCATCAACTTTTCTTCTTGCTGGTTTTATTTTCTCCCATACAAATCCTGCCTGCCCAGCTACCATGTGCGCTTACTCCCTCCTTGCAGTGCAGGAGAAACCTCTCCCAAACAATAACTTAAGTCTCAAACTACAAACAAAAAACCCAAGTGAGATGTGTGTCCGTTACAAAGCGTTTGTGCTGTGCTGCTGTTCCCACTGAAAAGCACAAAGTATCCTCCATCAAGAAAACACGGCTGGAGGATGGATCCAAAGCAAGATTAGCTTTTGAGGTTGAAGAGTCTGTACCATGCAGCTCAAGATTTGTAGTTTATTCTCCTAATGGCATGTTGTTACACCTTTATGCTTGGTTCTCCTGAGATCCTGAGAGCCACTCACACTCACATGCTCTTCCATTCCTTTGAGAAGAGAGGAAACCAAACCCTAACGCTGCTTTGCTGAGGCTCAGGCTGATAACTGCTGTGGGATTTGCCAACTCCAGCTCGGTGTGTTGTCTGGTCTGGAAGGTGTTAAGGGTGGGAAAGTGGACAAAGCAGAGTTAGCACAAGTTGAAAGCTCTGGAATTGAGAATGAGGTAAAATTGCAGTCATTTGTGCAACCCTTTGATGTTGGGCTGTGGCTGCAACAGCCAAGGCATGACAATGGAAGGACCACAACCACCATCAACTCCCGGTCCATCTCCCCCTTTTTACAGTGTGGTTTTGGCATCAGATGTGGAGCTTTCTGGCTGTGACGACCAAAGAGAGGGACTGACTGTCCTTCTGTCCCATCCGAGTAACTGTCCCCTCCAAGGCAACTTTGGTTATAGTTGCACTAATGGTGCATGTTCAACAAACATGCAGTGTTGTCTGGTAGATGAGATTCTCCCAAAGACTTTAAAAACTCAACTTAGCAGCTGAAAAAGCAAAACAAAACCTAAAGCCCTAAAATGGAGCAATCTGGAAAGTCAGTGAGAAGAGGAGCTGGTTGGCCAGCCCCATTCTCCAGTGAGTCAGTGGAGGAAGCCACAGCTTTTCATGAGACTGAAATGTGGTTACAGGGTGTTCTGCCCAGAGGAGCTGTTGGTGCTGTGTCTGCTCACAGGCTGGCTTCTGTCTGATGTACTTCAGGCTTCATTAAAAGGAGAGAAGCACATCTGGATCGTGTGTATCTACCCTACATGCCAAGCTTTTGTTCTTGTTTCTCCTTCCCTCTTCAAGACTTGGATTTGCGTTCTAGGAATCATAGATACTTCACCAAGGTCTGAATTTTGGAAGCTCTTTATTTGCCAGGTTACTCCAACCCAGACTCTTCTGTGATTCTTTTCTACAGTTGGCTCAGTGATACGGAGCAGCACTTGTGCTGTGAGGAGTACTGTCCATTGTGGGGTGGGAAACCAGAGAGGAGAGGCCAGAGCTGTCATCAGGTTCTGCTCCCTTTGAGCTGGGAGGAGAAGTCCTCAGAATTGGGATCATCCCATGGTAAATCACGTTGGGAATTTGCCTTCTGCTTCTTTGTGTCCTTCTACTCACACTTGAGAAATGTGTTGGGATACAGAAATGGTGTGTGCATCCTCCAGGCCTTCATGTGTTTCTGTTGCTTACTCTGTGCATGACCTTGCAGACTTCTCTTTCTTACTTCACATTTTGCTTTGGGAGGGGTTATGATCTTCAGGTGGGGAGCGAGCACCAACAGAAGGTGAGCTGTAAAAATGAAAGGGCCTCCCAGTCCTGTCTCAAGAGAAAATGGGATGCAATGAGGGAGCTTTTCAAAACAGAAAGTTGTTTTTGCATGACTACGGCAGCCAGAGGGTCAGTGGAGAACATGGAGCCCAGATTTGTCTCCTGTGTCTCTTGCTCCTTCCCCTGTCTCTAGCAGCAGAACATAGTTGTGTGCTGGGTGGCAGGATGGGCTCGGTGTCTTGCTCCTGGGTTGGTTTCACATGGAAGTGAACTTTCACTTTGTCAGAGTTATTACGTCTGTTCTAAGAAAACTAATTTGGTTGTATTTGAATCTGGAAAAACTCCCCGTGAAAGCCTGACCATGGGGTCAGGTTTTCTCTAATTCAGTTGTCTCTTGATGGCTGATTAAACCAGTTTAACTTGGAGGTAAATTGGTTTAAGCATCCACATGAACCACCTGCACTGGTTTAACTGTGCTTGCTGGGTGTTCTCCCCTGCTGATTAGAGAATACGTCCAGAAGCAGCTCAGGGAGTCATGACCCTTTGGTGAATTTTGCTCATGAAGTTGTGGCAGATACTGTCAGAGCTTGGGAATTACTGAAAATAGAGAGGAGGTGCTTCTGAAAACAGCTTGAGCTCTGCATTGTGGAATCAGAGTTAACACGGTGTTCAGTGAGATGTCTCAGGGTGGTTGGCTTGTTTTTTCTCCAACTACTTGCAATAACACGGAAGATTCAGTGTGAGAATAAATGATGTTGTATGTTTATATTGGTGGATGAGTTTGCTCAGCCTTACCCCGGTCTGAGGGACCATTTCCACTTTCTGGATCCTGTGGTGGGCGAGCCAGGACATCGTGTTGCACAGGAGCAGGGTGACTGAGACATTGTGCTGCTCGGAGGATGCTTTGTGCATTTCTAGACCCCACCAAGCTACTGATAAATCAGAAGACAGTAAAAGAACAACCAAAAAGTTATTGAAAGGCTGGGAGTGCTGCCTTGTACTGAGGAACGACTCAGAATTGCATCTCTCTGGCTAAAGGAGGTGGAGAGGAGCTCCTGTGACATTCAGAGGGAGCACATCCAGGAAGGGAGAAGTTGTTCCCCATAGAATGATTAGGAGTAACAGGATGAAAATGATCAAAAATACACTAAAGGGTAGATTCTAGGAAATCTTTTCAGGGAGGAGAAATCCATTCATCTGGGAGGAGTCTGTTATGGGGAATGTTTTTTGAGCCCTACCATTTCCAGCAAGGCTGTGCAGCTCCATGGAGCACGCTCTCCATAAGGCACAGGCTGCTTTGGACCTTGCCTGAGAGAAAAGAGACTGGATGGGAAATGATTGTCTGTGGGTTGAGTCCAATCCTGCCTGGTGGGTCCAGGAGGGTTCACAGAGCATCTTCCTCCACATCCTCCCCACTCACCACTGGCACCAAACCCTTCCCAGCACTCCAGTATGTACACGAACCAGGTTTTGTGAAGGAGGGAGGTAGCTGAGCAGCAGAAGGGGCAGAGGAGGAAACACCAGTTGAGGAGCAAATGTCTTGTCAACCCTTTACACTGCCAAGGTGAAAAAGTCAGGGT